TAGCTCAGATCAGCTATGAGATCAATACCACGCTCCTAAAATTAAGCTAAAAGAGCTTTTGGCTTAAAAAAAAATTGGGTTCTCTAAGAGCAAGTTGTACGTCAATGCGTCTATTGTGAAACGTTTATTACCTTAGACAATCGATTTAGAAAATCTTTGACAATTTCCATGCACAGATTTCTTTATATAATTTAAAATCGAAAGATTTCTTATTCGATAGTAAGGAGAAGTAGAAATACTCGAGTGGGGAACAGCTCATCATTAAATACTCTGTACCAGCTTACAGGCATTGATGTAAGGGCTTTTGAAAATAAGCCGTTTTATAGGAGGTGATCCAAAGAAGTGTCCTGATCCATACCATTTTGAACATCACCCGCCCGGATAGTTCGGGATAGCCGTTCGCGATGGTAATTTGATAAGCAAAGCTGAGTGGACCAAATTAAAACCGCGTGAATCTATTTCTCCACACATAAAATTTCTCATGAACAATAAGCCCTTCAGAAAAAGCTTTAATTTTTATTACATTTTATAATGAGAATTACTCCACAGTAGCAATTTAGCCTAACGCTAAGAAATTTCAGCCACCTAGATGTACTTTTTAGATCCAAACAAATAGAGGGGTTGTCATGAGAAGCAAGTCTTTCCTATGGAGAGAAAGTCTAATTTAGAGTTTTTTTATAACGCAAACTGAAAATAATAAAATTTATGGAAAGTAAATTCACTTACCTAAGTCTGGATTGCGTCACTTGATGTGTTGGGCATCCTCCAATATGCTGGCTTTCATGAAAATTATGCTTTTGCACCAAAATAATGTTCAATTTTTGGTGTATTATTGCCAAAGCTGTGTTAGGCGATGTGGTGTAGATTATCTAATAGCCGACTTTGACCTAACTATAATGTTCTCATTTGGTTTTCAAATTAAATTTTTCTCATTTATTAATTTGGCTATAGTTTCTCTCAGTATTACAACTTTTTTGGTTCACGGACCGTAGCTATCTGATTTCGTGGAATCCAACATCAGTTTCCAGAACGATAAAATATGTTTGCAGATTATTTATATGCGTAAAATCTGATTAAGTTTCCTTTCCAATAATTGATGAAGAATGCCCATTGGGTAAATGTAAAGCAGCATTACAGCAGCAGGTAAGAAAGACCACTGAACATTCCACACCACTTCGCCCAACACAGTTGTACATTTATTTTTATGATAATACATCGAAAACTATACCTTATTTTTATATAGAGGCATATATGAAAAGTATCATGTATTAGGGTGGCCAAAACGTTAATTGACGTTATCCACACATTTTCGTTATAAAGAAACTATAAGCTAGACTTTGTCGGCCAATTAAGAACTTATCTTTCATAGGAAAACTGTATATGGTACGATCAAAAAAAAACATAGACCTACTTGATCCAAATTCGATATAGTCAAGTTTTATATCAAATATCTCTTACGTACCAATTTCCGCTATAAAATATCAAAATTCGATCTATTTATCATGCAAACAAATAAGCTTCTGATGAATATCTTGTAATTATGAGGGTGCAAATATAACCATGGTCCAAATTCGAAAAGTTTAATTTGGACGAATTTTCACCATGAAATATTGAAAGTTAGACCTTTTTATCATATGAAGAATGAATGATTAAGAGGATTATGAGGAAATTGCCTTATTTTTCCTACTCCTACTGCAACACCCAGAAGAAATTAACATAGATCCGCCTTTTATTATACCGACCGATTTAGAATCGCTATCTGAATCGGGTTAACCTTATTTATTCGTCTAACGCGTTTGTGTTCAATCTGTAGGTCGCAAATTTTAAGGCTATTATTGAATCAAGCTTGATACTTCGGCATCTTATCACCAAGGATGAACGCTATTAGAAATGGTTCGGACCGTATCACTTTTATGACCAATTCCCATATGATGCTTTATTTTGAAAAATTGTTATATAACTAACTGTAGGATTTAAAGGTGTGCCGTGGCCCATTATAATCTTTTTACTTGTCTTATGGTTAATTCCGAATCCGTGTGATTTGATTAGAGTTCGTCCTTCAAAATATCGGTATATCAAATTTCGCAAAAACATCTCAAAAATTGCGAGCGATACATTGAACACCAGAATAAATGGACAGCCGTCCGGCAGGCAGGCAGACAAGCCGGCGCACAAACTCAAGTTAGCCTATACCACGAGTGATTGTTCGATGTCTGCACTAACGCAATACTATATTAATTATTATGTTAAAATGATGTATTAACATTAACTCTTTTTCAATTTGCTCGAATTTTTAACATAGTTATTTTTTACATTTACGGTATTATCATCATATTACTTATTTTAATTAAATGAAAATATGTTGGCTAAATTGAAATTTGAGCGGCACTACGATTCTTACCATTCTGTCGCTCAATGCAAGTACAGCAAGTACATCCATCTTCATTCGTTTTCTTTTTCTCATCATAATGAACACAAGTGGCAAGTGAGTCATCGAAGTGCAGTACATAAGTCCAGCAAAACTCGTTTGCTCCTCAGACAACACAATTTGCGTCGTCATCATTTCCTTATACATTTCTTTTTCCTATATTATGATTTTATTAATTTTTATACCCATCACCGAAGAATGAGGGGTATATTCATTTTGTCAAAATGTTTGCAACCCCTAAAAGGAAGCACCAAATTGTATATATTCTTGATCAGCATCAAATTCTAAATTGATCTGGCTACTTTCGTCTGTCCATCTGTCCGTCTATATGCGTTTGTATATTGCCTTTTGTAAACATTCTCCTAGCCGCAAAAATGAAGCTATCGACTGCAAATTTGGCAGAAGCAACAAAAAGCAGGTTGATATTGAAGATAGACCAAATCGGTCGAAGGACACGCCCACAGCACCACGTAGACTGCGAACGCCTTTGTTGTTTGGTTTTATGCTCGTTACTCATAAACTATAGCAAAAAATTGTATAAAAATATGAAAGCATATTCTATGGGCGATGCCGTAGCCCAAAAATGGAAAGAAAAGACCCCGCCTATCCAATATTATAATGTGTTTTATTATTTTTTCAATACGTTTATAACACGCAGAGATAAGCTTTAAAAACCGCATAAAATATACAAATTCTTGGCCAGTTACAACTCTTGAATGCACCTAAACATGTTCCTGTGTTCGTCTGTCTATCTGTCTGTTTGCGTAACTTTTTAGTATTTGTGGGCAAGCTCCATCTCCTTAACGAACGTGAATTTGCAAAAGAATTTCGAATTAACCTAAACTTTTTAAAGGACACGCCTACAACGCTCACATGCCTCTACGAGAAAAACTTTTATTTTGAAAATAGAAGAAATCAACTGCACTCGCTTCATATTATAGAACATGAGAATTTTGTTCCTTTATTTCTTTTGTCTTTTTTGGGGGTAAACTGTAATAGGTGTAAAAGATTCGGTCCCGACCGAATTTAATTTTGTCACTTGTTTGCATTTATATTGTTATTCACACACCAATGATATCACCAATATAACCCCGTTTTTATCTCCATTAAAAAACTTTATTCGATTCGACAGCAGTTGACTCATATAAACTCACAAAACAACACTGACGAAGCAAATCGAATGCCATAAACCGACCCATTGTAACGAATTGAAAGGGTAAACATGCATTAACACAGATTAACTTGAATCACTAATTGAGTTACGACAGATATTCATGTTTATTATTTATATTTATTTTTATATCCTACATTACTTCTAGTATAGAGTATATAGAGTATATAGAGTTTGCGCGGACATATGCAACACCCACAAGAGTTTACGATAAATTCGCCTCTTATTGTAGCGATCGATTTGAAAAATGAGTTTAAAGTCGTCTGTCCGTCCGACTCTGATATCTGCCAACATGCTTTTTTTTGATCAAATTGCAGGTCCGAATATTTAATGATTTTGAAGGAACTCATTTGTCTTGACCTATGGGCGAACGTTCTTGTTTGGATTGTTAGGATCGATCAAATTTTTCAACGGCTTTCCATATAACGAGTTTCTAAAATATTCCAATTTTCAAAATTTTTCCACAAAAATCGCTCTGTAATAGCATATTCTAAATTAATATGAAAAATTTGATTCGGCTGGGTCAATTTGTTGAGGCTCATATAGCTCTTTCTACGAAAACTGGATCTTCATATGGTACAAATGTGCAATTTCCAATATTTCTTGGTGAATATTAGCTTGTAATAGTAAATTGACAAGGCAATCAAACTTACGAAGTTTAGACCACGTAGCTCTAATTTTTGGATATCATCGCACACGAGGATTCCCACGATATGTAAACCTTCATATATATATAAAAAGGCCTAATTGCTAATGTTTTATGATGAAAATTTGTTCATAATAGTAATTTGACATAAAAATGAAGTGGACCAAATTTAAACCAAATGAGTCCATTTCTTAGATTCCAGCCCATATAGTATTCCTCATGAATAGTTGGCCCTTCGGAAAGAGATTTAATTTGATTACATTTTATGATGAAAATTGCTTAGTAGCAACTTAACACAAAAATTTACATTAGGGAGTTTGGATCGCATAGATCTATTTTTTGTATCTTAACATTGACGAGGGTTACGATGAAAAGCAAATCCTTAAATGGAAGGAAGGCATAAAATCTATCTATATATGAAATTGAAAAAAAAAGACATTTTAGGAAAGTAAATTAAGTTTGCAAAGTTTCGACCACGCTTTGTGATGCTTGAGATATCCTCCAATATGTGGACTTTCACGAAAATTATGCCTTTGCAGAAAAATAATGAATTATTTTCGGTTTAGGCGTAACTAAACGAATGGGTGACTATACTAGAGGAAATGGTGTAAGGTATCTAATAGTCGGCCTTGACCTTCTGCCTTCTGACGACCAAAAGAAATAAAAAATTCTTCAATTTTTAAACTTATTTTTTCCTAGATTTATTTTCGTACATACAGATCGAATAATTGGAATTTTTTTTTTTTTTTTATTACTCAATGCCATAGCAGATGTTCATACTCTTCTATATAGTCCATGTTCATAACGTTAAATTCGATAATACATATGCCTAAGTATTCAGCATAAGTGACTGGTGATTTTAATTCGATTTTATTTCGAAAATCTCCTGCTGTGTGAACTTCAGTTTTATAGATTATCATGTCATCGCACTCATCGCCAACAAATTTAGATACAGTCAACAAGTCTGTGAGATACGGCGTCAACACAATCAGAGTTCGTTGTATTCGGTCAACATTGGTATTTAAATAGCTCGAGCCTGCATTAGTCATAAAATTCACAAAATTCTTTGGGGACATAACTGTTTCGTGATCCAATGGCATTACGAAACACCGATTCGAAATTGGATCAATAATGGCCGATTGGTTAGCTTTGAAGTCATGTATAAAGCGTGCACGCCTTATCGTGTCAAAACTGTGTACATCAATGCTAGCATAGCTCTCATCATCACTTATATCCATTTCGATTTCTTCACGAAAGACGTTATGATCAACTTTGACATTAAAATTTTCGATATTTTTATCATTGAATAAACTCGAGGAGTCCTTGTCGGTATAGATACGCGTTTCTGTGATATTACCTAACGGTCCGTAAGGTATAATGCATAAGGCGCGATAGTGTACGTGAAGATCGGCAAGCATATTTATGCGATATGCTGTATAAGCTCCGAAGATAGCCGTTGATATCATGGCAATGGGAATTACGAAAAGTAACATCACTTTTAAACCAGACAATTCTAAGCCGCTTAACACCATCGATTCCATATCGAGTTGAGATGTTTTACGCGACTTCTCTTGCTTCGTTGTATTTTTATATTCTCTTTTACCAAATCCAGGCCGATGTAAAAAGATATCTTCACGTTTCTCCTCTGGCGTTTGCTTCATCATATTGCTTTCTTTGTTTTTTTTTTTTTTAACTTCAATTTATTCCGAAATTCGCAAAATATATAAACTTTTAAGCAATTAAAGGAATTTATTTTAACCCAATTAAACTCACGAAAAAATTTTGCTAACTAAACTGTTTTTTTTTTTTCTACTTTTTTGTTGAGTTTAAATATATTATGCAATGGCAGATAGGAATAAATTAAAACATGCCAGGGTTTCCTTAATTGTAACAAACGACTATCTTCAAGGCATTGCGTAAATCTTTAATTAAATACTTCAATGCTTTAAGGATCAATGTTGTTTGTCCTTACTTTTATCGACTAATAGATGCAAATGTAATTTCATTAATAGAATACAGATAATTAAGATAATTGTACTAAATGTAGTAAAAATTTATTAGGTGTAGAAAAAAATTCGTTCCAGTGAAGTTGGTTGCATACAATGTACCTGGCGTGTTCAATTTTCGCGAAATTTACAAGATAGATAACTTAGATACTACGCTGATCAAATTGTATCTTTTTTAAATCTATTAGGTGCTTACATGAATTTTGGGCATATTTATATTCGCCCTTGCACGATGAGGGTATACCCATTTACCATTTAGTTAATACCGAAAAGGAAACTTCAGAAACTCTATAAAGTGTATCTGTTCCTGATCAGCGCGATTCAACCATGTCTGTCCGTTTGTGTGTCTATGTAGTGCTTGTTGTAAGCATTCCCCTGGTCGCAAAAATGGTTCGCAAATTGGGTAGAAACATTAGAAGTCATTGCACGTAAGTTTTTACTGAAAATCGGCCAAATTGGTCGGAGTAGAAGCCCGCAGTAGAGCTTAAACGCAACTTTGTTTTTCTTAACAAAAATTTATCGTTACTCAGAAATTAAAAAAATTAGAAGGATGAAATTTCCCACATTTACTTTGCGAAACACTCTACGTGCAATAGTAAAAAATTCGGCCATGCCCAACCAAAGTTTCAAGCGATTACATTTTTTTTTTTTCACTTTCACTTCAAACCAAACGAAATGTTTAAAACTATTTTGTACATTCTTTAAATGAAGATATATTATCCGCCTAAAAATGGGTTAATTCTAAAAAAGATGATAGACACCGCGACCATCTGATGTCTGTTCATGTAAATTCGTGTCACTCCAGGTCGCAATTTTTAAGTTATTTTAATGAACTTTGACTCAGTGACTTATTTTGTTCCAATGGCGAACGCTACTAACAATGGTTCGGATCAGTCCACGTTTTCGACCACCAGCCCTATAGCGCCCTATTGTAAAAAGTATTTACGTGGACCAAAAATTGCAGTTTTCAACATGTTTCGGCAAAATTCGCTGAGAAATAGTAACTCGACATTTTAAATAGGCATAAAAACTTTGGACCGGCCGTGGAAATTTTTTTGAACGCCATCTTATAAAACCCTTGTTGTGGAAACTAAAGCTTTGTATGGCAAAAAAGCCGAATTTCCAATATTGTATGGTGAAAATTCGCTCACAATAGTAAATTGACGAAGAAATCTACCTTACCTTATTTGGGCCACTTAGGTCTACTTTTTGGATAACACCGTAAATTTTTTGCGATGAAAATTAGCTGGTGATCGTAATTAAATAAAAAAAATTAAGTGGACTTAATTTGACCCACATGGGTCTGTTTCTTTTCTCGCTTTATATAACATATCTCATGATATCTTAATAATTCATAGAAGCATTTCAGCAAAAAAAATTTACATAGAGACGCTATCACGAAAAGCAAATTTTTATATGGAGAGAACAGCTGATCACCCAATATGGCCAATTGCCTGTAAATAAAGTGTACCATCTGATGTATTATTACCAAAACGAACGAATCTGTACTACACGAAGTGGCGTAGGGTATGTAGTAGTCAGCGTCGCCAACTATAATGTTCTTATTACACTTGTTTGTGTATAATTTTGTTTATTGCGTTCAGGAATTTGCTTTTGTATTGTAAGTCTGCTGGCCGAGGGAAAGACTTTTTACGTTATTGCTGATTGAAATACATAAATAAATTGCAATTAAAAGTTTATTGTTAATTGTGGAAGTATTAAGAAACCTATCGAGACATATAGGTGTGTCTGCCGGATATTTGAGTACCATTTTTATTTTCTTCTGCCTCGTGGGTGTGTATGTGAACACATGGCGCCCATTTTTAACTATGTATTCTTAAGCAATCAAGGAATGCTTTTACCAAATTTCAGTTTCCTACTTTTAGAATACCTCGTCTAGAAATTGCAAAGAAGGCATTTGCCAGAAAAAAGGAGTAGGCATATATATTTATTCCTTCAAAAACCAATGTGTAACATTTGAAGATATCTATGTACCTCCTTAGGCAGAATTTTTACATTTATGTTAACAAGCATGTCAAATTTGATGATTGCCGTGAATCTAGTGTTAAATGGGAGAAGTTAGTGTTTATTCATGAAATATTTGTGCGAGAAACTTCAATTTGTCAAATTCAAATATAAGATAAAACTAACTCTATCTGAAGATAGCATATATTGCATGTCTCAAATGGTATTCTTTATAAGCACTGTAAAATTATGGTATGACTTAGCAGTCAATATTAAGGCAATTATTAACTTTAATGAGTTCGCATCAGAAGTTAAGGCTTTTCCTATAACTTCTTAAATTTTGTGTGTTTTCAAAATGGACGAAATTATTCAATGCTTTGTTTATATGACATTTCAACATATTATTCTGAAAAAGACAATCCGTCTTTGTAAATTTAATTAAATTTAATTGATTATAATTGACCACTGGAACGAAAACGCAAGCAAATCTAAATTTAAAAGAAGTAAAAGCATGAGAGTCGGCCAAAGAAGACATTTAAATACTTTACACTACTTCGTACAACATAAATCTTCATTTATTTTCGTGATAAAGTAGCAAACATTATGTCTTGTGCGGAGATCTTTCATGGGTACCCTTGTATGGAAATGGGTCCGAAATGAAGTCTAATTTGGTTTCAATTCAGGAAATTTAATCTTGTTACTATTACTGTTAAACGATTTTCGGTATATATATTGAAAATAAGATCCTGTCGCCTTACTTCTAACAATCGACTTACTTTGTATAGGTATCGTTACACAACGCGCGACGGGAAAAATAGATCTTCGTGGCCACTTAGTTAGTACAGATTATTTTTATGTTAACTTGCTATTATGGGAAATTTTCGTCAAAAATTATTAACAAAATAAACTTATTTGCCATGGAATTATTTGCTTTCCACAAAAATATTTATACGAGGTTGGGTACAGAGAATAAACCTACAAATTGTTTACGGGTTGTTTTCAAGTCAGATCTTTCAAGTCAGATTATTCTCACTGTGTTTTAAAACTTAAAGCTTTTTGCCATATAAAGTATAGCTTCATAGGAACGTCTATATAGGAGGCAGTTCAGAACATACGCCTATTCGATCAAAATTTTTCACATATATCTACTAAGCCGAACTACTATTTTTAAGGGAAAGCTTTCTGAATTGTACATTTTTTTTTTTATATAACGGGTTTTCAAGAGAAGCGAGTAGTCAAAAACGTGACTCTATTCGAATCATTTTTAACAGTGTTCGTCAGCTTTCGAGTCTGGTACGTATGTGCACCAAACTTTATTACCTTATTCCAAAAATTCCATACTAAATAAAAAGGCTATAGTGGTCCACGGTCCACCATAAAATATCTCACATAACCCTACCGTTATTCATATAAGGCAATATAGAGAAAGTTGTCGAAAGAGTGATCCAATCCAAAACATTTTCTACAGTGTTCGTCTTGAGGTCAAAAAGGCATCAGTGTACCAAGTTTCATCAAATTACGATACCTATATTGAATACCAGAATACAACACATACAGACCCACACACGGGCAGGCAGACAGAGATATTTAAATCTATTTAGAAAATAATACTTCATGGATCATTTTAGTAAAGCATGTATCCATCTTAAGCCCTTCCAAATGTTGCACGCATCATTACAAAGTTAGTATATCCTGTAACACGTAGAGGTATTTTGAGTCCTCACAGTATTTTACTTTATGGCTGTGAATTGTCTAATGAAGTAAACACTTGAACCTTATACAAACATAAGCACAATGGCAGTATCGTTACGTTCTCTTCATTAAATTTTTTGATAACTGGCTACAAATCTCTGCACACAAGCAAAAAAAATGCATGTGTTACACACACTAGGATATCATTCTCGTAATCCCCCTTTTATAAATGCCTCTTTATAAAAACATTCATTTATTTCATTTCGAGAGGAAAAACATAAGCAAGTAAATAAAATTTTGAAAACAAAATTACCTCTTTTTGTATAACATAGTGGCAAGTACGTATATACAAAGAAAAGTAATGAAGAATCATTGAAGCATTAAAGCGGATTATTATTATTATTATTATTATTATTATTTGTTGCAATACTCATTACATTTTGTTTTATGTCCTTTATGCAGGAAACATTTTTTTATAATATGTAAACATATATTCGTACGCTATACTCTGGCAAAATTTATCAAAAATAAATGCCAACGTTATGTTGGACGTGAAGCAACTCTTTGATATCTGCCGCTGCCAAACTATAACAGATAAGGACATGACAGTGGAACATGCCCAACCATCGAATACCCTACAAAAATTCGCTTAACTCAATTAATTATTCATACAACGACCTTTCATTATAAGGCCTTATATGGAATGTGGTCGTGAAAGTGGTCCGATGGGAACTATTTTCTATAGCTTTCTTTCTTGGGTAAGAAAATGTTATGATCAAGATATTTCAAAAAATTTACGGCCTATTGGTTCAACAGCATAACGGGTATATATCCAAATGTGGGGACATGTTTAAATCTATTCAGGAAGCATTTCGCTTAATCTAACTATACTTAAAAAAGTTTTTCAACATAAATGTTATATGGAAAAGGATCAAAAATGTAGTCAGATTTGAACTATGGTATTCGTCCTTTGGCCAAAACATCTTGCTTTACAAAATTTC